TCTCTTGAGATGTCATTTCATTTTGAGGAGTGTCCTGGGAAATCATTCAAGTCACTGTAGCAGTGCACTTCCCTTTGCTTCAATTAATCAATTAACGTAGGCAACAAACATCTGATGATATCTTCCAAATAGGCTTATCTAGCTTCTGCTATTATTTTTGTGCTGTAATAAACAATGGTCTAATTTTTGTTTTTTCTTTGCTGTAAAGTAACTGGTTAGATGTTTGATCTCAGACTATTGTAGATTTTGTCTGCTGGAAAGGTCATCTGTTGAGTTACATTATTTGTGTGAATTTTACCTCGTGGCCATTTCCTCTGAAAAGTGATGTAACAAACTCTGAATGTTGGCATAAAAATGTAGCAAAATATATTTGTTCTGATGTATTTTGAATTCCAAAAAAAATCTATTAATAAATCAATGTATGGATCATTTCACAAATCTCATTTCCAACATTATGAAGAATGAAATGGTGTTATTAGACTAGGAACAGTATTTATTTGTCTGACGTGTCACAAAAGGAACATTGTCATTAATCATTGTTTTTGTGTTAAGAAAATATTTAGCATAGATGCTCGGCTGAGCTGTGCTCATTGCCTACTAGGTACAGTTGGCAGAGGATGGGGGGAGTTCAAAATAATGGGTTGCTGCTCCCTGATTCCAGGGACAGTGCTATATTGAACCTCGTGTACTTTAGAGCAGCTTTGGGGCATCTCTAAAGCATGAGGTATCACCAGAGGCCATGAAGGGTATGTCTACACAACAATAAAAATCTGCAGCTGGCCCATACCAGCTGACTTGGGTTCAGGCTAATGAGTTGTCTCATTGCTGTGCAAATTTCTAGGCTCGGGGTAGAATCTTTTGAAGTGAGAGGGTCCCAGAACTTGGGCTCCAACTTGAGCCAGAAGTCTACACAACGAAACATGGGCCAGCTGCATACTTTTCTTTGTTGTGTAGAAACACTCCCGCCCCTGTCGATTAGCATGGGCCAGCTGCAGACTTTTCTTTGTTGTGTAGAAACACTCCCTGACATGCACAATTTTTAAATGGTGTTTCCCTACTCAGTATTAGCAACTGAGTTGTCAGAATTTGATTTTTTAATATAATTTTAATGGCTAATATTGCTGTTTATTTCCAATAATTTTTTTTCACGTTTAAATGTTCAACTGTGAGCAGAATTATGGGTTTAATCATTTTTTCAATTTTTATTGCTTTAAATGTTCATGGTTGTGGGAAATTATGCAGGTTGGTTAAACAATAATTATTTAATGTCATGAAGCATCGAGATTCTAAAAGTTAAAGCTTTACAGCCAATAAAACACGAATTATCAACATCACATCAAAATATACAAAGCAAGTATCTTTAAACCATAAAAAGTTCTCATGCAGCATTTTTCTTACTTTGCCTACTTTTAAATTTAAATTCTGATCTATTAGAAATATTATTCCATTGGTTTGTGTGTGTGTGTGTGTGTACAGTGAAATTGACATTGGCAACTTTATCACAAAAATCTAGTTTAAGTGCCTTCGATGGTTAAGTTCCACTTTCAAAAGTCTCTTAAGCACTTATGCACTTATGTCTCATTGAAAGTCAATGGAATTTAGGCTCTAAAGTGCCTAAATCACTTTTAAGTGCATCCTGTCCAGTATTCACCTACATGACAATACAAAGCCTGAGCCATATAAAGCATGAAAAATGCAGGGTATCCAACTGAATTACACAAGCGGCTCTGCCATCTGTTGTCTGATCTTGCATTCAGTGCACACTAGAACTCTCATTGCTGATGCTGTCTTTTATATGAATGCTAAAATCCTTCCAATGCTTTAAAGGTAGGATTTTTGTTTTTGAAGGAAGAGAGAGTAACCATAGTGACCTCTGTCAGAAAATAAGACTGTAGTGGTGATATTGCTAAGCATGTTAATATTTTCTCCATTTGCCTATGCAGTCACAGTCCAATTGATAAAGAGATTTCTTATCTTGAAAATGTGATATAGAGGGCTATGTTGTCAATGCACAAATACCCGTAATGAAGGATGCAGGAATTTTGGCCTGCAGCATTATTAAATTATAACAACAAAGTACACTGACATCAATATTTTTTCATTACTCCGTGACAAAACATTTAATGCGCTTGTTTATTAGTTATTGTTGCAAAAATGAGAAAATGAGAGAGAGAGAGAGGGAGAGAGAGAGAGAGAGAGGACAGCCAGATTTGGAGAGAGACAGAGAAAGAGAGGTGTGATCTAGGGATTGGAGTACAATGGGTGAGGGGGTCAGGAAAGCCTGAGATCAATCCTCTTTCAGCCTCTTTCTGTAGCCTCAGATAAGTCCCTTCACTTCTGCTCAGTTTTTCCATCTGTAAAATAAGTAATTAAATTTATCCAGCTATCTCAAAACTGCAGTGTCAGGATTAATTGATTTTTACAGAACTCTGAAGACAAAAAGTGATACATAAGTGCTAAGCAAAAGAAGGGGTCATCTTCCAAGTTAAAGCACTGGACTGGGATTCAGTGGATGTGAGTTCTATTCTCAGCTCTGCCACAGACTTCTAATCTTGCTTTGGACATGCAGTATCACTAAATTTCTTTGTGTGCCTGTTTACACACCTCTAAAAGGGGGACAGTAACATAGATTTAAATCCTAAATTAGGGTGTGGGGATGATACATTACTAAAACATTCAGATTCTATGATGATGAAGCTTTTAAAGCTTTTAAATAAATATTATTGTTCTTTTTTCTTTGCTGGGTGATATAATCCACTCTTTTAAAAACTCAGTACCAATTCAAATTTACCCTCTTTAACTAGTGTATCCAGAATCCCTGTCCTATTTAATTTTCTTGGCTTCAAAATGATTTTTATAATGATGGCAATGATATTTGCAGATTAAGATTTACAAAAATTTTAAAATACTGCAGTGTTTTTAAATTCTTGTAAATCTCAATCTGCAAATATGCTCATGGAATATGGCCTGTGGAAGTACTCCTCACCTACATGTGTAATTATTGGCACTGCTCAACATGTATATTATAGTAGTACTTTAAGACCACAACTATACTTGTACTACATACACAGCTAGGAAATGGTTGTTTGCCTCAAAGAGCTAGTCAATTTCATAGATTTGATTTTCAAACAAAAATCCATATCAGATAGTTATCGCACATCATATGTAAGTGTCTATGAACCATAGCACAGAAGAAGAATATACAAATTTGGTCCAGTAAGGGATATTACCGTACCCACCTTGTCAAAGTATCTCAAGAATGCTGGACAAATATCTGGTTTCTCAGGCTCCTCTGGTCCATGGAAGTCAGTCTGTGCATTCACAGAGGGACATTGTGCAGACACTGTATCACTGTTGTCATATACCAAACATTTCATTATGGCTTCCCTAACAACGGCAGGCCTGTTCTGCTGCCACATATAAGTTTTCCCCAGGAGGACATGAAGAGCCATTCTGACGTGTGCCATAAAGGGAAGACTACTTTTTAAGCCCTACCACTTGTGTGTGCCTGGGACCTCTTTCCTAGCCTTTCTAATCTTTTTCTTTGAGAAGTTAGAGCAGAAAACATATTGATGTAAGCTGCTATAATAGATCACTACATATGAAAGGAACAAGCAGCTGGCTACCATTTCTATAGCAGGAGTTTTGCAGGTGAGAGGAGCACAAAGTCCTTATTCCTCACTTTCCCTTGCCTGCAGACACAGTCTGGCTACATCTAGACTGGCATGATTTTCTGGAAATACTTTTAACGGAAAAGGTTTTCTGTTAAAAGTATTTCTGGAAAAGAGCGTCTAGATTGGTCCGGGAGTTATCGTTATAACGATGCGCTTTTGTGGAAAAGTGCATCTAGATTGGCGGTGCGCTTTTGCGCAAAAGCAGAAGCCCGGAACCATTTTGAAGAGGGCAAAAGGCCACCAGACCTTTCCAGGGGTGGGGCTGGAGCTCTGTTCAGACACGTGCTTAAAGGGGTCTCGCCGGACAGCCGTTTGTCTCCTGCTCCATGCGTTAGGACCTCTGGCAGGGACTGACAGCCATAGCAGGTTTGGTGGTTGCCCTCTGACTTTTGGGGACACCACTCTTTTGCCCCCTACTGCTTTTTCCTGATTTTGCTTTCTTGTGCCCTGCTTTGTCTGCCATGGAGCTGTGGGTGGCCATGTGCCTGCTTTGGCCCCTGTCGGCCATTTTCAAGTGCCTGCGGCTGGTGCTCCAGGCCGGTGCCCTTGTCTTTCAGGACCAGGAGGTAGAGATCGCCTTCGACTCCCTCACCAGGGAGGCCATGGCATCCCTGTGGCATCAGCACCCCAGGGTGGAGAGGCCACTCTGGAGATTGGACACCAGCACGGACTGGTGGGACCGGCTGGTCCTTGGGCAATGGGACGACCAGCAATGGCTCCGGAATTTCCGCATGCGAAAGCGGACGTTCCTGGAGCTGTTCACCTGGCTCACCCCCACGCTACAGAGACCCCCCCACCCAGCTGCGGGCACCCATCCCCGTCGACAAGAGGGTCGCCATCGCGCTATGGAAGCTGGCCACCCTGGACAGCTACTGATCGGTGGCACACCAGTTCAGAGTGAGAAGATCCACTGTTGGTGTGATCATCATGGAGGTAAGTCCCAGGGGGAGTGGGGAGAGGGGTGGGGGAGGGTGTAGCACTCTATGCCCAGGGGCAGCCAAGACTCCAGGCTGGGTCACCCAGGGGTTTGGGCCG